CATTAATGAATCAATGTTACGGAAGTGGAGGAAATGCAGTTTTTGGCTTTTCTCATATTCCAAAACGTGTTTCGTCTCTTTGCTTTTACTGTCGCCCGGCATTATTTGGAGATGATATTGTTTGCAGTCGCTGCAATGCTTTTGACCAAAACAGGCGCAAAAACAGGCGCAGTTTGATGACACCATCAACTTGCGCTATTGCTGTAGAGTGGTATAGTCAAAATCTCTACCGCTGGCCAAATTCACATTGTTTCTACCGTATACTGTTTATACCGCCCACCCCTACTGTGTAGTGTGATTAATGCAAAGCTATTTTAGTACAAACCTACTAAGGTTGGGCGATATGTAAAATTTTGCAACCAACAATGGTCAGTCCAATAGCCGACGATAGGTGATATATTCGCGCACGCGCAGACTTTTCGATGGGCAGAGCAACGTAATCATGCATGGACTTTGTGCGTTTACAACACAGAAGTCCAAACATGGACAAACTAATTACCAAATTGCACAGTGGAGGAGAAATGGACTGTTATCTCAGCGAGATGGTCATAGATGGAGAAGACAATCAACTGGTTTGGTGGAAAATGAAAAACGTTTCCCATTGATGTCGCACATGGCACCAAAAGATCTGCGTGTACCAGCCACAAGCACACTTTCAGAACGCGTCTTCAACACCGCTGGTAATGTTGTTAATCACCTGTGCACACTGCTAAAACCTGAGAAAGTAAACATGCTTGATTTCCTGTCAAAGAATTCATGCATTTTGTTTGGAGGGAATATTTTACCTTCTTTTCTTGTTTGTTTCAGTATTAATGTAGCTACTTTTTGGATTATTTATTTATTTATTTATTTGAGATGCGCCAAATCACACAAAAGACTCATGTTTACGTTGGAGGGTTTTTTTTTTAATGTTTGCTGGAAGAGACATTTTGATTTTTAGCTAATTTGTTGTTTGGTCGAGTGTGTAGTAAGTGTCGAGTGACAGATACGTTTTTATTTAAATAAAAGGCTTTTTTTCTGAACACAGCCTACTGCTGTTATTTTTTCTGTTATGAGTTTGAGTAAATGAATCACTGCTGCATTTGAGTGCACTCTGAGGAGGGTGCCGTTAAAACAGCGCTATTATTTATTTCTGTTGACTGCTTCTGTTGGCTTCAACTAACATTATCAAAAAAATTACTCATAGACAAATAAATAAATAAATAAATGGCTCTTGTAAAAACTATCAACGACAGGGCAGCCCATCAACGATAGTCGATATATTCGTCCAATTGCCCAACCTTAAAACCTACAATAAGCAAACTGGAAATGAGCATAGGTTTCAGTAAAATAGTATATG